GTAGATGCAGGTGTAGATGTAGTTGTTGCTTTCCTAGATGCTCCAACTCCTAGGGATGGTCGCACTGGGATAATGTTGGTTACTTCAAATCGCTGACATCGCTCGCCGCCAAGGGGTCCGAGGGGGATCTCGGGGAGGTGCCCTGGCGGGTAGGGCTTCCAGCTTGCCCCCCGAGCAGGGCGTTCCTCGAGCGCCCGCGGGGCCCCGGAGAGGCCCCCCCGGGGGGGCCCCCCGAGAGGCCCGCCCATGGAGCAAGTACTCCAGATTTCGTAATGAAGGGAGGGGGGTCTCATTTCGGGGGGGGTCTCTTCCAGGCTATCTTGGAGGGCCTGGGGGGTCTGGGGACGATGTTTTGGAGGGTTCTCCCACGGGGGAGGTCCGAAATGGCTTGTCTTGGAGGGTCCAGACCCCCTCCCTTTTATTACGAAGTCTGGAGTAGGCGTAAGTCGAGCCTGCCCCTCTGCAGGGGGGAATATTCAAAAATCGTCAAAGCGTAGTCTGGGGACTTTTTTTTTGAGTATTGGTTGACCATGTTGGAGCATTTTTGGAATGGTTTTGTCTTTCGTTAAAAATCCCCCTGTAGGGGGACACGCCCGACTTACAAGTAGGCTTTCGCATACGCTGGTGCCGAATCCCCTTTTGGTTTGGCGGGGCTCTCCTGGCGGCCTCCCGGGGGCTCTCCTGGATCCGTTGTCCGTTGCCCCCGCTCCTCCCTCCGAGCGTGCAGTCGGGCATGTCCCTCGACGTGAATGTTCAAGAATGGTCAAAACATGGGCCAGGGACGATTTTCCCATTGTGTTCGAACAGTTGTGCATCTTTTTCGGATGAATGTCTACGAACCTTCCAGAATCAGCCTGTGGGAGGACACGCCCGACATAATCCGAGCGTCCTGGGGCCTGCGGGCGTGGCAGCGGCCTCGCCGCCGGGGCGGTTCCTTTGCGCACGCGGACGCGGGGGGCGCCCGTTCCTGTCCCCCGCTCTCCACACGGGCAGTGCGGGTGACGATTCCATTGGCGGAGCTCCGCCAGGGACGCCCTGCATGCACGGAGCGTGCTTTTGTAGTCGGTTCGCCTGGCTGTGGCGCTCCAGCATTGGTGCGACGCCTCGCACCTCCTAGGGGAGGGTCGTTTTGCCCCGACAGCGCTCAGCCTTGCGTTCTCTGCCTTCCTGGGCACCACACGGTCAGGAGGGAACAAAAACACAGACACAAGTAACCGTCGACACAGACGCAATTAATCTTGGAAAATACAGGAAGCGGGGGGAAGATGAGAACCCAGAAAATATTGCAAAGCATGGGGAAACCTGAGATTTGTGTCTATTTGTGTGTCACGGGGCCCCTTCATGGAGGAGGGCCATTTTGTTCTGGCGGCGCTCAGCCGTTCGTTCTCCGCCGCCCCGGGCACCATACCGGTGCAGTCCTGGAGCGACGACCAGTCTCTCGCATAGGGGATTCTTAAACAGAAGGCGCAGGCCCCATCTGATGCAGGACCAGCGCCGTCTAAGAAGTAGCCTCCTCCTAAGACGTCGTCTCGCCTCCATCCACCCCCCGCGCGCGCCGCCAAGAGGAGGAGCGGTGAGGGGAGATGACTTCGCGTCTTCGGGGGACCTCTCTTGTACTGTAAATGGCCGTCTTTCCTTGTCCGCGGATTCGACGTGGACTCGACACTATTTCGACACGGATTCGATTCGACCGACACGGACTCGACACGGACTCGACGTGGATCGCGGCGCGACAGGACAGGCAAGGCCCCCCGAAGACGCAACACGAGGGAGAGGAAGGAGGGAAGGACGAGGCGGCGCGCCCTCCCCGCCATGGTCAGGGCCCGGCGCCGAGGCAGTTTCGGAGGGCAGCGCTCGGCTGCAGCAGGCGTGCTGCCTGCCGCCGCAGCAGGGCACCTGGAGCCCTCTGTATGACCTCGATGGGCGCGGGTCTCTCGCCGTCGCCTTGCACAGCTTGGCGACGTGGCACTAACGCCGCAATACCTTTTATAATTTTGTAATCATAATGTACAGATAGAGCCAAACACCAGCAGGCTCATCACGCGTCATGGGTGTGTTGCGTTCTGATTGTCTTTCCTTGCTCCTGGTGTCCGTCCCTGTCTGCTTCCCATCTTGTTTCTCCCCTGTCCTCGCATCGCGCTCTCGCGCTGCTCTGTCTTTAAATGCCTAACCATGGCGCCACTGCTCCGTTCCCAGCGGGACCGCGCCCCGGCGCGATGGGAGCGCTCGCTCCCGTTCAGCACTCGAGCAGATGCATGCGCGGAACCCTTACTCGGGGGCGGCTAATAGGGGGGTGATTTTTAGAGGGGGGGGGGGGATGTTATGGTGATCTGCGAATATGTCGCCACTTTCGTGGGTTCCTGGGAGGTCCAGCGGAGGGGTGCCCCACGGGGACCACCATGAGACCTCGCCGTCCCTGGGGGGCTGCGATCCGCGAAACTGTCGCCACCAGTCCCATGAGGCATGCATGGGCGGCGGGGTATGTAAACCCGGCGGCAGCCAAGCACAGGGCTGAACCCATGAGGCACAGACAGGTGTGATCCCAGCACTGCTTATACTCGCCCCGTGGACGCATGACGCTGTCGTTGCCCATGCCGCATTCCTTCTTCAGCTGCCTGTTGCTTTGTAATGCATGCGGGCACATGCTACGTTTAACGCAAGGCGCTGTACTGTCATAGCGCGCAGAGCGCTGTCCTGCAATACGAACACAGCGCGGGCCGCTGCTACTCCCACGAATTATGTCTCCAATTGTCCCTCCTTATGTTTCCATGCCCCCTCGTGGTCGCTCTCCTGCCAACGACCTGACTCTTACTAATGACGCCGTATTTGTGAACCATCTGACTTTGGCCCGACGTTCCTTGGCGAAACGTTCAAGCGCATTGCGGATCATTCAATGATGGCTGTGCCGTTTCGCGTTCCGATGTATTTTCCGCGCTCCCACGATGTCTCGCGGGGCAGAATTTGTTTTTTCGCGGCTCCGCGGTGTTAGAGATATTGTTCCGTGCGGGGCGCGCGCGGTACCTTGGGGTGGACCGCCCCCCTAGGACGACCGATGTGAGTCAATTTACCAGTAAGGGGGACGCCAAGAATCGCATAGGGCGAGGGTGGTTCGGACAGGCAGAAAGGAAGCTTCGGACTTAAATCCGTTCCAGGAATTACAACGTGGTGTTACTTAATATTACGATTGATTGTATACTGGAAGTTTCTTCTAATGCCACAGGTCAGCCACCGGTGTTATGTGATTCCGATTGCGTGACAACATTACTCAATCCGTGCAGCCGAGCCGCCCTCAATCCGTGGAACCGAGCCGCCCTAAATCCGTGAAGCTCGTTTCAAAAACGAAAGCGCGCGGCGCCAAGGCGAGAGCCTGGTTTTGAAACCGAGCCGCCTTCAATCCGTGAGCCTCGTGCACACAGCTCTTATAGCGAATGCGCGCAGCGCTGAGGCGAGAGCAAGCTTTTGAAACCGAGCCGCCCTCAATCCGTGAATCTCGTGCACATTTAAAAAACCTACGTGCGCGGCGCTGGGGCGACAGCTAGCTTTTGAAATCGAGCCGCCCTCAATCCGCGAAAATCGGGCGAATTTTGACAACGAATGTGCGCGGCGTTGAAGCGAGAGCCGGATTTTGAATCCGAGCCGCCCTCAATCCGTGAAGCTCGCGCAGATTGTTACAGCCAGTGCGCGCGGCGCTAAGGCGAGAGCTTGATTTTGAACACGAGCCGCCGTTAATCCGTGAAACCCGTGCACATGTTTCAGAGTAGCGCGCGCGGCGCTGGGGCGAGAGCTAGATTTTGAAACCGAGCCTCCCTCAATCCGTGAAGCCCGTGCACATTTAGGAAAGCGAATGCGCGCCGTGCTGAAGCCAAATCCGTGTTTGAAACCGAGCCGTTTGTACTCCGTGGGACTTTTGCACATTTTAAAAGACGAGTGCGCGCGGCGCTGAGGCGAGAGCTAGATTTTGAAACCGAGCCGCCCTCACTCCGTTAAACCGTGCACGATGGAGAAAGCGAGTGCGCGCGGCGTGGGGGCGAAAACTTAATTTTGAAACCGAGCCGCCCTCACTCCGTGAAGTTCGTGCAATTTTTTGCAGCGAATGCGCGCGGCGCTGAAGCGAAAACCAGATTTTGAAACCGAGCCGCCCTCAACCCGTGAAGTTCGTGCAATTTGTCTGAAGCGAATACGCGCGGCGCTGAGGCGAGAGCTAGATAAAACAATGCGGCCTTCAATCCGTGAACATCGTGCACATTTTTGAACGCGAATGTGCGCGGTGCTGAGGCGAGAGCTAGATTTGCAAACCTAGCCGCCATCAGTGCGTGAAGCTCGTGAATTTTGTTTGAAGCGAGTGCGTGCGGCGTTAAGGCGAGAGCTAGATAGAAAAACAAAAAACGGCCGCCTTCATGCACACTTCTGGGAGCGAGTGCGCGCGGCCCTGAGGCGAGAGCTCAATTCTAGACGCTTCGCGTATCCCCACCAGCCCGTCCAGAAACGACGCCCAGGCGAGTAGAGGGTCGTCCTGAGGGGCTTTTTGGAGTCTTCGGTGCCTCGGGGGGGCCTCTGTGGGCCGTTCGGGATCCTCTTTGGGGCCTCCTGGGGGCCTCTTGGGGCCTCTTGGGGCCATCTTGGGGCCTCTGGGAGCACCTTGGGTGCCTCTGGGGGGTCTCTTGGGGCCTCTTGGGGGTCTCTTGGGGGCCTCCTGGGGGCCTCTTGGGGGGCCTCTTGGGGCCATCTTGGGGCCATCCTGCGGCCTCTTGGGGCATCCTGGGGGCCTCTTGCGGCCATCGTGGAGGAAATCGATCAAAGAAGAGGGGAGCTTTAATTAGCCCTGCCCCCTCAGAAGGCCAAAATGGGGCCAAAACCATAGTAAAATCAATGATTTTGGCTTCCTCGCCGAGGCCGTTTTGGACGCTCTGACCGCTCCCCGCCCCTCCTGTCCAGGTCAGTGGGGAGGGGGTAGGGGGAGGGGTAAACCCCTCCCCGAAGGGGAAGAGGGAGGGGTGGAAGAGGAAACGCCCTAAACCACCGACGCCCAGAGGGCTGGTGGGATTTGAAATTGTTCCGCCCTCAATCCGTGAAGCTCGTGCACATTTTCTCAGTGGGTGTGCGCGGCGCCCAGGCGAAAAAGTAGATCTTGAAAACAAGCCTGGGGTGGGCGGACTTGTTTTTTGTTTCTTCTGCTTGCGCGGTGTTTGAAATATCATTCCGCTAAAGCGCGCAAGACCGCGCCACACCTGCAGCATTGCACCCATCTCCTCTCAACCTTACCTTCGAGTTCCTTCTTCCCCGCTTCGACTGCGCAGTACCTGCGGGCAGGGGTCCTTCAAGCGGGTATGCTTGTCGGGCGAGTTCCTTGACCGGGGCAGTCGGACTTTGTTCCCAGGCGCGAGCTTGACCTGCTGAGGACTTTCGTCCTTCCCCCTTGGGCCGTGCAGTCGCCAGGGTCTGTCAACGCCTCAGCAGGAGGCAGGCCAGGCGTGCCGCGGTGCCAGCCGAGGCGGCGTGCTCTTGCTCGCCCCTGGGGGCCGGGGACGTTCGAGATGCGGTGTTTTCTCCTCCTCTTCCTCCTCCCACGTGGTTTCTCGCTTTGTGTAAGGCCGGACCGAGGTATAAGATCAAGGTCGGTTCGGGAAGGGTGCCCTATTTGTTCTTCGTGTTTGTTGGATGTTGCCGGATGGTCTTGTGAATCCTGGGGGAAGGCACTCTCGAATGTTCGTCGGCTTGGCTGGCGGAGGGTCTCATGTTCTTCTAAAGGATGTTAACATTTCTTAGGTCCGACCGTATTCAAACTGACGTTTCGGTTTGTGTACAGCCACCAGCACAGCCACGAGCAAATCCAGGAAACCATTGCCAGGAGATTTACCGTGAGGGGAGTGGTGTATATGTATCTTGTGGGGCAGAGAGGCCAACACTGGTGGACTTACAGCCACAAGGGAGCCTCTTGGACGACACTAAGATCTATGTTGAAGCTCTCTTGGAGCCTTTCGGGAGTCGTTGGGGTCCTCTTGGCGGGGCAGTGGGGACCATCTCGGAAGCCATCGATCACCAAGGGTGGGTAACAGGTTAGGATCCCCCCGTTGGAGCCCGAAGGCTCACATCTTCGAGAGCTCTTGGAGTGCTCTTGGGGGCCATCGGGGTTGGTTTGTTGCCTTCCTCTTAGGGGCTCTCTTGAGCGTCTTGGGAACCACCTTGAGGCCTCGGAAGCCTGTCGGACGCGAAAAGGACTTAGGGCACGAACATGAGAACACAACACTTCTGTGTGCACTTGCAATGAAGGTTTCAACCCCACCTTCCCATGTTGCAAGGGATGGGGTTGGTGTCCCATCCCCCCCCCCTTCCCCTCGTGCAAAAGGGATGGGGTTGGAACCCCGCCCCCCGCCCGGAGGAAGGGGCCAGAACCCCCCCCCCAACCCCGGGACTCGCTGCTGGCAAACGACGACTGCGAGCACCAGCGCCGCAGGACGACGACGGCGGCGACGACGACGACAACGACGGCGGCTGCGTCGACGACGACGACGGCTACAACGACGACGACGATGGCGACGACGACGGACGAAGGACGAGGACGGACGGATGAACGACAGACGACGAACGACGGGTGACGAACGACGACCACGACAATTACGACGATTGGCGACGACGACGTTGAGGACGAGGACGGGTACGGACGGAAGGACAACGGACGACGGACGACGGATAACGGACGACAGACGATGGACATCGACGACGATTGACGATGAGCGATGATTGATGAGTAACGACGGACGACGGATGACGAACGTCGACGACTGACCGACGACCGACGACAACAACGAACGATGGACGACGGATGACTGTCAACGACGAAGGCGACGAGGACGACGACGAAAGACCACGACGGCGATAATAGCGACGGAAGACAACGACGACGATGGACGACGGACGAATGACGGCGACGCACATGGCGACAACGTCGGCACTTGGACGACGGACGTTGAAGGACGACGGACCACGATCGTTCGACGACGACGATGATGATGTGCTTACCCTCTTGTGCACCACATTTAATGTTCTGCCCATCCTACCCGGGCCGCTCGTTAGGGCCTGCCCACCCGACCCAACCCGCCCGGAAGGGCTCATACGTGTCAATTCGGTCATGCATCATATTCTCATGTCCCGCCCGGCCCGACCCGACCCGCCCGTTGAGGTCCGACCGCCCGACCCGACGCACGTGAGGGCTCCTTGCATCGGGCCAGACTTACGTCCCGCCCGCCCGGCCCGAGCTGGCCGTAAGGGCCCGCCCGCCCGACCCGACCCGCCCGTCGGGGTCTGCCCGTCACGCTTTGCCCGCCCGACGTCGGGGTCGTCGTTTCAGTCATCCGTCGTTCGGCGTGCGTCTTCTGTCGTCGTCGGTGTCATCGGTCGTCGTCCCTCGTGCATCGTTCGTCGTCGCCGTCCGTCGTTAATCGTGCATCGTCCATCGTCGTCCATCGTCCGTCGTCGCCGTTGTTCGTCGTCGTCGTCGTCGTCATCGTCGTCGTTCTGGCCTTTCTCGTCGTCGCCGTCGTCGTCGTCGTCTTCTGTCGATGTCCGTCGTCCATCTTTCGTCGTTCGTCGTCGTCCGTCGTCCATGGTCGTCTTCGTCGTCCGTCGTCCGTCGGTGTCGTTGCCGTCGTCGTTGTCGCCGTCGTCGTCGTCGTCGTTGTCGTCGTCGTCGGTCGTCGGTCGGTCGTCGGTTTTCGTCTGTCGTCCTTCGTCGGTCGTCGTCGTCGTCGTCCGTCGTCGTCGTTGTCATCGTCCGTCGACGTCCGTCGTCGTCGTGGCCCTCGTCGTCGTCGTCGTGCTGGTCCTCGTCCAGCGCCGTCGTCGTCGCCGTCTTCGTCCGCTGTCGTCGTCATCGTTTTCTGGCGACGCTGCTCGCCGTCGTCGTTTGCCCGCAGTGAGGTGGACAGGGTGGGGGGCGGTCCCGGTTTTCAGACCCACTCCCCCTTTTGCTCCTGGGGGGGGCATCTCGCCGGGGGTGTCCCGGGATGGGGGAGAGGGGCGCTGGGCCTGGAAGGGTTGTGCGGGGGCCCATGCGGGCCCCAGGATGCGCTTTAAGGGGGTGGCCGGTTTCTTGGACGTCCTTAAGACCCCCTCGGGTATAGTTTTCAGGCTAGTGGCCGTGGACGTCGTTCCTTCGTTCCTCCGTCGTTCCTTCATAGTGGCCGTGGACGTCATTGCTTCGTGCATATATATATATGTGTATATGTATATACACATGTCTGTGCATGTATGTACCCAGCTGCTTGCGGCAAGACCCTCCACGCTGCCCGCCCAGTATTTTGGGTTGCGACTGTTCGAGGGGGCACGGGAGAGCGTCACGCGTGACGCCTCGTTTCTCCAGGCCTGGAAGGGCCGTGATGAGGATGATGATGATGCTGTTGATGGTGTTAATGCCGATGTTGCTGCTGACAATGATGATGCTGCTGATGATGATGGTAATAATGATACTGGCACGGCGATAGTGATGGATAATAATGATGGTGATGCTGATGCTGATGCTGATGCTGATGGTGGTGATGATGATGCTGATGATGACGATACTGATGGTTTTGATGATGGGGATGGATAATTTTAATTGTACTGATGGTGACGATGCTTGATGGTCATGATGCTGACGATGCTTTCATGAAGATGATAGTGATGCTGAATATAAGATTTCTGAGTATGATGCGAAGTGAAATGGTGAGACTGATGATGATGATGATAATGATGATGATGATGATGATGATGATGATGATGATGATGATGATTCGCATGCTGATTGTGGTGCGGGTGATGAAGGTGATGGTGGTGCTGATGATGATTATAATGGTAAGTATGATGCTCTTGGTAATGATGCTGAATGATGAAGATGATCATGCTGTTGATGTTGTTGGTGCTGATGCTGATGCTGTTGACTACGACGATGATGCTGATGATGGTGGGTTGATGCTGATACTGATGATGCTGTCGATGATGATGCTGCTGATGATGATGATGATAGTGTTGATCATGATGCTATTGATGACAGCGACGACGATGGCGACGATGACGATAGCGATGTACAAAGAAACACGCTGATTATAAGTTTGATGCTGATGATGACGATGCTGATGTTGCTTCTGCTGACGATGATGATGATGCCGATGATGATTGAGATGACTATGATGCTGACGATGATCATGATGATGGTTGTGATGATAATAATAATGACGATGATGACGATGATGATGATGATGATGGTGGTGGTGGTGATGATGATGATGGTGGTGATGATGATGATGAGGCTGCTACTGCTGCTGCTGCTGCTGCTGCTGCTGCTGATGATGATGATGATGATGATGATGATGATGATGATGATGATGATGATGATGAAACTCGTGTGGGTCGTCTTGTGGCTGTCTTGGCCTCCTGCGAGGCATTCCTGTGGGTTCCCTGGGGCTCTTTTTGGCCGTCTTGGGGCCTTTTTATACTGGTTTGGGGCTCTTTTTGGCCGTCCTGTGGACCCTCTTGGCCGTATGGTGGGTAACTGTGGGCCGTCTTGGCGCCGTTTTTCGCCGTCGAAGGGCTTTTTAATGCCGTCTTGGGTTCCACGGGAGGCCCTGTTTGGCCGTCTTGGGGACGTATTCGATGCCTCCTGGACCATCGTGGATGTCCAGGGGCCGTCGTGAGCTGACGGCAGCCCGAAGAGGCGAGAATGCGAACATTATTTAACAACCCAATACAAATCAATGCGTCTGGCTTGTTCGGTCCCTTTTGGAGGTGATCTAGGGGACATCTGTGGCCGACTTGAATTACTATTCGGGGCTTTGGGACCATTTTGTGTCGTCTTCGCGGCAGCTTGGGCCATCTTGGGCAGTGTGCGGTTCCTTTATTGTAATTCAGAAATCCAACCAGACAATCGCCCTGTTACCTTTCCTTCCTCCGTCCTCCGCCTCCCTCCGCCTCCCTCGTTCCCCAGGTCTCTGAGTGGCTCGGTGCCCAGGCCCGTGGATCCGTCGACATGACAGATATGATCGACCAGCGCGAAGTGCTGCGCCGCACTCACACGTTGCATCCAGAATCCACCTGGAACATCCTTCCCCTCTCGTCTCTTTCCTCCCGCTCTTGCCTCCCGATCGACCAGCGTGAAGGGTTGTGCCGCAGACGCACGTTGCATCCAGAATCAACCTGGAACATCCTTCCCCACTCGGCTCTTTCCTCCCGCTCTCGCCTCCCGGAGGCGGAGCGCCGGCTATCCTTGCCTGTCTCGTCTTCGTTATCCCCCGAATGATGCGTCCTTGACCAATTGAATGTTGTGGGGCAGTCTCTGAAGGCTTCGTTGTTTCTCTCCGCCCTGCCCCACCTTACTTTTCCTCCCTCGCTCCTGCCCCGAATTGGTGGTAGCGATGCTGTCAGTTGCATGGGCATAGCGCGGCGTGGATTTCCCGACAACTCGACGCGCAAGCAAGCAAGTGAATGGTGGGCCGCCGTGAGTAGAGAACGACGGTTATGTGCCCTTGCCGGTTGAATTATCTTGGCCATCTATCCTGGCATGTGTCGTGAATTAGACGCCGCACATCGCCGGCGCATCACCGGGGAGGGAGAAGGACGGAGGAGGAGAAGGAAGAAAGAGAAGAGGTCCACGGGACAAAAATGTTGTGTGTGCACATTCGCCAACTTACGATTCGGTACCTGGCAGGCGCGACGCTACTCAGCAGCGACTGACTATGGTGTGCCGTGGCGGATCATGCAGCCAATGGGTCGTCCGGTTGCAGCCGCAAGCACCTACGTGCACCGGCCAGGGTCCCACTGGACTCTCTTTCTTCCAGTTGTTTCACCATGTCTGAGTGCTTCATTCCTAGACTGCTAGCTGTGCCTCTTCCTGGCCATGCGACCTTCCCCGCGTACTGCCTGTCCTCCTGCTGTTTGGGATCTTGTGCGCCTGGCCAACGACTGCTGTTAGGGACGCAGCTCCGATCGCTGTAGCAGACAACGCATCAAAACAAGGGCTTATACTGTTAATGTTGGAAAAGCCCACCAAGACTCGGCATTATTCCACGCCTCAACATGCCAGGGGTCACGGTGGCGGTTAACTATTTGTTCATACGCATCGAGAGTACGTGCGGGACATAACAAATGAGAGAAAGAGAGAGAGAGAGAGAGACAGAAGCAAAACAAACAATTTCGGCCCATTCCGCCACCGTGCCTAGGTTGTAGGTCAGAGGTATCTTGGATGCCTCTGGAGATCTCTTGCGAGGTGTCTCTAGGGAGCCTCTTGGAGGCGGTTCGGGGGCCTCTCGTGGGCCTCTTCGGAGCGCCTTGGGGAATGATCTTGTGGCGGAGGGCTCGGCATGTATGTCGGTCCGTGTTCCTGTTGGGAGCTTCCAGTGCGAATGCGTGTCGCGCCAAAGCGAGGGTAACATTTTGACTCCCCCCCCTGAATCCAGCTCACTTCCGTGAAATTCTAAGACGGACGTGCGCGGCGCCAGGGCGAGAGTCGAGAACCACCCCCGTCTCAATCCGTGTAACTGTTGGAGGATTCTAAGACGAATCTGCACGGCGCCAGGGCGAGTGGCATTGTTTCCCTCCATCCGTGTACGCTTCGGAGTCATAAGCGGGTAGGAAGTGTCAGGCGAAGCTCCCAGCCCGCCCTACCGACACGCCTAAAGGTCAATCGAGGAGGAGTTCTCTATAAGGGGAATTGATGGATGTGGCCGGAGGAGGAGCGGCGCGGAGGAGGACGACGATGAGAAGGAGAGGAGAAGGATGAGGAGGAGGAGAGGAGGAGGAGAACGAGGAGGAGGAGGAGGAGGAGGAGGAGGAGAAGGACGAGCGCGAGGAGGAGGAGGAGGAGGTGGGCGAGGAGGAGGAGGAGGGGGTGGGGCTCTGCGACGCGGCCGCAGGGACTGCTGATCCTCAGACCCTTGGGGGCCGAGGGCGATCCCTGCGCTGCGCCCGGGGCCTCTGGCGTCCTCGCGGGGGGGCGTCTCGGGGGCGGCCTGCCGGCGTGCACTCCTCGGCGGTGCGGCGGGCCCCGTGCCTGGCGCGCGCGCGCGGGGGGGGGGGGGGGGCGGGCGCGGCCCGGGCCTCCTGCGGCGGGGGGCGCGCGGCCTGCCTCGCCTCGGGAGGGCCGCGGGGTGGCGAGGGCCAGCCGGGTCGCGGGGGGGGGGGGCAATCTCTCTCGGGGCGGCCCCTTCTCTTTCGGCGGCGAGCAGGGGGCAGAGGATGGGCGAGGAGGAGGAGGAGGAGGCTCAGCACGAGGAGGATCACATGGGGGACAACGACGACGAGGACGCCGACGACGCCGACGACGCCGACGACGATGATGGTGATGATGATGGTGATGATGATGATGATGATGATGATGATGATGATGATGATGATGATGATGATGATGATGATGGTGGTGATGATGATGATGGTGATGATGATGGTGATGGTGATGGTGATGGTGATGGTGATGGTTATGGTGATGGTGATGGTGATGGTGATGATGGTGATGATGATTCTGGGTGATGGTGATGGTGATGGTGATGGTGATGATGGTGATGATGATGGTGATGGTGATGGTGATGGTGATGGTGTTGATGATGATGATGATGATGATGATGATGATGATGATGATGATGGATGATGATGATGGTGATGGTGGTGGTGATGATGATGATAATTGATAGTGATGATGATGATGATGATGATGGTGATGGTGCTAGTGGAGGTGGTGATGATAGTCGGAATGGTCCCTTTAACTGGTGATGATGATGTTGATGATGATGTTGATGATGGTGGTGGTGATCGCCGTTCTGGCTCAGGGTCTGGGCTTGCGACAGCAGTCTTCAGAGCGGCAGTCGCTGTCGCGTGCCTTTTTGGCTTGTGCAGTTTTGGGGTAGCTCAAACCCCGCAGTTTTCTAAGACCTCCGCCGTGAGGCATCCATGGATGGTGCGGTGGTCCAGGGCCCAAGAGGCCTTTCTGGGGCTGCCAGCAGTGCGGGCTCACGTCGAACTGGGCGGGCCGGCTGCGCTGCCGCTGTGGCGCCAGCGCCCCGCAGGCGGTGCTCAAGCGGGTGCAGCAGGATCCTGGCGCTCGCGGTGCTCCTCGCGGCATCGGTGGCGGCGCCCGCCCCCCTGCCGTGGGCTCGAAGCGTGAGCAGAGGCTTGAGAAGCAAGTCCAGGAGCTCACCAAGCGGGTGGAGCAGTTCGTCGCTGGAGGTGCCAAGGCCTCGGCCCAACAAAGGGGGGGAGGCGGTGGACCTGCGGCTGCTGCCAAGGATGACAAGGAGATGGAGGATCCGCCGCGCGCTGAGGCTACTCAGTAGGAGTTGGCCATCGCAGCGTGCAAGAGTGAGTCGGCATCGGCGGCCAAGGCTATACTGGAGGAGACCCTCCGAGGAGTCAGGGCGCAGATCGAGGCTCGAAAGCCAGACCTCACGCAGCACAACAACGTGGGGCACAGGCTCAACAGATGTAAGGCCCGTCTGGCCAAGGTGGAGTCTGAGGTCACAGACATCACTAAGAGGCTGGACGATATGCAAAAGGAGAGGAGTGAGTTGGTGCAGAAGCGCGACAATATTCAGAAGGCATGTGCTGAGCTCCAACGACAGTTGGTTACCACCTTGCCACTCGGCGAATCGACGGCGGACGACACCTTCGGTGTCCCGCAGGAGCTCCTGGAGGGCAACGCGGAGATCAAGGCGATGCTGGACTCCGAGCCGTTCAAGGAGTTCGCCAAGCTTTTTCGCCTACGTGTCACATCGGGTGCTCAGCGGCCTGGGACACTTGTGGCACCCCCTGAGGCAGCGCCTGGTGCACACGTGGACCAGCCTGTGCCAGCGGACGACGACGAGCTCGACGACATGCTCGTTGATGAGCAGGCGGCGGATGATTTCTGGGAGAAGCACAAGGGTGACAAGAGGGCTATCCTGGAGGCGATCATGGGTGCCAGAGCAAAACGTCCCAAGACGTCGCAGCTTTGACGCCAAGGATTGGGCTGAGTGTAACAAGAAGCGGAGGAGTTCGTGCATCGACGACGTAGGTATCTTCTTTTTCGATTGTTGCTTTTCGCGGCTCTGGCTTGTGCAGTTTGATTGTCGAGTGAAGCAGGCCCTCTGGTTTCTTCTTCAGCGGCTTTGTGAGCAGCAGTCAGATGACCTGCGCATGGAGCAGAAGTCAGATGATGTGCCTCTGCCGCCAGCTCCCCGTCCCCCGTCTGACGACGGCTTTCATGACCCCAGTCAGAGAACCACAGATATGTAGGTTTGGTGATATGTAGGCTGGGCGCCTGGTTTTGCACGCTTACAGCCTGGCGCCCACCTGGCGAGGAGGGCGGCGGAGGGATTCGGCGGACCAGGGCCGATTGACGGGAAAAAGGGCGGGGGGGGAGCGCAGCGAGGGAATGGCGCACGAGGGAGGGGCATTGCCCAGGCAGGAGGAGGATGGAGGATACGTTGGGGGGGGGGCGGGTGGGGGAAGGGGCAGGCTGTGCCTTTTTGGGCGACCTGGGGCCCTCCAGGTTGCCGTCTCGCGGGGCCAGAGAGGGCCCCCGAGATTGCCGCAAACCGCGTTGCATTGGGGGTGGGGTGGGCCCTCTCGGCTTCGTCTGAGGGCACTCTGGAGCCTTCCAAGGCCATCTAGGGGACCCCGAGGGGGCTTCCAGAGGGGCCGTTTAGGGGGGCACCGAAGGGGGGGCCCTTAGAGGGGCCAGGGATGGCCTTCAGAGGGGCGCCTCAAAGGGCTTTCAGAGGGGCCCCAGAGGGCTCCAGAGGGCCTCGTGGAGCCGTCTGGCTGTGGGCCCTCTGAGGGCCACCTGTGAGCTATAGGCAACCAGCCCCCGTGTCTGGAGCTCCGTGGGGCCCTCTTGGGCCCTCTTGGGGGCCTCTTGGGTCCCTATTGGGCAACGCTCGAAGCCTTTTCGGGGTTCTCTAAAACTTTCTTGGGGCCCCTTTGGCGGGGGGGGGAAGAAAAGCGACGTGGCTGAAAGCATGTTCGGACACTTTGCCTCTTGAGGCCTCCTGAAGCCTCCTCTCTTGGGACCCCCATTGGAGAGCTCTTGGAGCCGCCTGGGGCTCAAGGAAGAGTGGTCTTGCATCCCTGCATGACTGCACCCTTGCATCCTTGCATCGGTTCTGGTCTGGCATCATTGCATGCCCTCTGGGCGGTGATCTCGCATCCTTGCATTCTATCTCTCCGATGGTCTTGCGCCCTTGCCTACTAGCCTCCCGATCGGTGGTCTTGCATCCCTACGGCGGGCCTCCCAAGCCAGAGACCTGCTGGGCCCGTCGCCACCGTGCCGTTGCCATTTTGGCCCGAACCATTGCTTCACTTTCCCGCGGTGGGCAACCTCTGCCGCTCGCCTGCCAGAGCTCCCAGACCCGCCGACCCCTGCCAGCGACCATGTCGCTGTCGAAGGCCCCAGGCCACGCCAGCAATAAGCCTCGCACTCGCGCTGTGGCAGCTGGCGTTGACAACCTTCTCAGCAACAGCGTGGAGGCCGATAAGAAGTACATCCAGGAGCAGCTCAACAAGAACGAGGCCATTGCCCCGTTGATCGCTTCGATGATCAGGGATGGCGAGATCGAGCGGGCCCTTGGGCGTCGCAACCTGCAGA